TTCAAAGTAGATCTGTGCTAAAAAGAGACTCTGCTAAACATATTTTATTTCATGTTTGTGTGAAAATGTGTAAAGACAAAATCCTGGTTCTAACAGTACAATGGCACTTGACCAGAAAATTCCATTAGACTAAACAGGTTTTTAATCTGAATAGATTTTAATATCAAACTTTTATTATTAACGTTTTAAAATGATTAAATGGCTTATTTGGATTAAAGGCAATAGGAATTTCTGTATCCCTACTAGGGAAATGTATTGAATGATCTAAGAAGACATCAATCTTCCCCATTAAACTTTTTCTAACTTGCCAAAATTCATTCTTACATGAATTTAAATGGCACCCTCTTGTGGCCAAAAAAAAGGTAGGGGAGGGGGACCAAGATGCCTCATTCTTTTGAATAGATATGCGCATAAATAGCATCTAATATTATACTGGGACATGCAACTTCTAGGGATACCTGGAGCTCTGTTTGGCAATCGTGGAGGGCCAGATCCTCTAGACCAGTGGTCTCCAAAGTGGGGTGAGCACAAGACGATCCATTGGGGTGCGGGAAGAAAATATTAGAACTTCTATTTAGATGTATATTTATATAAATATACATATATTGGGGGTGCATGATCAATTTTTTACTGATAGGTGTGCGTGATCAAAAAAGTTTGGAGACCACTGCTCTAGACTAATGTGCTGTTTAGCGGTTGTGTTGCTTATCACATGGAATGAGGCAGCTTGAAGCCGATGTAGTGCTGTTCCCTCTAGTCCTCTGTGACTGGAGAAAGGAAGACAGAGAAAGTATTATCAGCCCCAGTGAATTTGTGCAAGGGGAAATGCAGCCCAGGTTGTAGTACCTCTTACTGAGAGTCCACTCCACACTGGAGAATACCCTTTTAAATGTGGATCCTGAAGAACATCAGGAACAAACAGGATTTTCTAGAAATGTAACTTTGTTTAGGCTCTGTCAGAGAGTCCCAAGGCTTGATGCTACTTCCAAGTTTAAGGAAAAGTTCAGAGAAAATGTTGTGAATTAAAATTATACCGTCCTCTAGGTTTCAATTAGGAAATAAAAGTGTATGAAAATTGATCACGGTTTGGGTTTCAAATCCCTGTTCCTGCCACCACCTACCAAATTCAGTACTGTATTATATGAGGGTTTGATTCACCTTCTTCACTTGAAAGTACTGTCTGAAAGACTCTGAACGGAAGGCTTAATTGTAGCATAGTACTAGATATTAGTTGACATCCAAAGTTATTAAACCACAATTCCTGAAACATAACCTTTGCAATCACTAAGGGTGTGTGTTCTTCTCCCCTTCTTGGCATATATTTCAAATCTCTGCCAGGGTGCTGCAGTGAAATGGAAATCATGTTGTTGCTGAGTATGTAAAGAATATGCTTAGTCAAATTAGCTTTCAGATGCTTTCGTACTCTTCTATTAGTCCTGTTTCAATACCTTAGAGATGAGAATGAGAACTCTTTTCACTGGAATCTATTATACTGATAACTTCTAAAACTTCCAGTATATCTGTGCGTAGCAAGACTGAGTACATAGGAACTTCAAACTTTGCTATAAGAATATTTTACAGATTATGGATTCTAAACCAGGATAAATAATGGGGCTCTTCCTTCCTTAATTTTACTCTAAATAATCAGACTATTAAATTCACAATTTCTTGCTAGTTTGTAAATTTACTTTTGGTAATACTTTAGAAATATTTAGTGACTTATTCTTCCTTGTCACAAAACCTAACAGTTAATCCATTGTAATGTGGAAAACTAATTTATCTGCCATCAATAGGCTTGGGGGCATAATCTAAACTGAAAACATTGTTATTCCTCTTCTGACAGTTATCAATAATAAATTCCATGCCCTTCTCAAACTAGGGTGGCAGAGATGAGAACACTTCAGCTAGATGTAAATACACTAACATTTGTTTCGGACTCACGCTGACCAAAAAAAAAATCTGTTGGAGGTAGAGTGATGGATCATTCAATCTATTTTAAATTATTTGCATGTTACTCAGGATATAGTAACTGAGCACCTCACACTCCTTAATGTATATACACTCAATTCACCCCTATGAGGTAGTGCTAGTTCCCAAATGAACGAGTGAGGCACAGAAAGTATTGGTCAAATCAAAGGAGGAGCTAAGCATCTAAAGCACCTAAATCAAATATTGAGGATCCTGCATACCCTACCCCCCAAAATAGGTACCTGGGCTCTTAAGCATCTTTCTGATCTTGAATTCTCAAGACATCTAAACTTCTCTTTGGTGCATGTCAACAGTTGCCTGTTTTTAGACTAGGAACATCCTGAACCCTAGCTTACCTTGAGCCTAAGCCTGACTGGGTGGTATCCAGAAACTGACTGTTCTTCTGTTGATCCCTCCTATAGAAATCAAATCTGATTAGGATTCTCAGAACAGTATAAAGCACAGCTACAGGACTAGGTTCCTCTCAAAATGCAGTTTCTGGTTACTTTTAAAATATGACCAGAGGTGTGCTTAGTGACCATGACACTGGCCCAGGATATGGGAAATGTAGACTGAATTCCATTCTCAGCCTGAAGATTAAAACCTACATCTTCCAGACAGTGCTGTAACAACAAAGCTTCAAATCCTTTCCTCCTGCCTGAAACTGCCATCATAAAGAAAGTGATTCAAGATGGCTTGGGTTAAAGGGACCCAAGAGTGAGAGAGGCCTTCTAGGCCAATGGTTACCAACCTTTTCAGACCCTGTGCCAGAAAGACCCAGCTCAAGTCAGAAGCTAGGAGCTTTGTGCTATTGCTGCTTCTCCCTGATATTTCATCAAATCCATGGAGCTGTATTCCATGAATTACATATTTTTATAAAATAAATACTTGGGAGAGAAATGGATGCTGAAATCCTACCTACTGGACATGAGTAAGACCTAATATAGGGGATGGAATATCCTGCACCTGCCTTACTACTCACAATTGTTAGGCACAGGAAATGCCATGCCCATACTGGATCAGATCTGCTGTCTCTCTGGTCCATCTTTTTAAGTTCCTAACTCTTTAACAGCAGGCACAAGTAGCAGATCTATTGAATCATGTTTCTGTATTGGACACAAAGCTACATTTAAAAAAAAAAAAATCAGTAGGTACCAGTCAAGGAATGAGAAATTAGCATCTCAGAAATAAGTAGTTCTTAGATGTAAAACTTCCTGGAGCATTTAGATGTTGGGGTATTATTTGGGGATTACTACTTTATCTTGTAAGCTGACCTAAGTCTTGTCTTTTCTTTCTTTTTTTTTTGGGGGGGGGTGGGCAGGAAGCTCAGCACATAATTCATTTTATTTTATTTTATTGTTTGAGAGTTGTAGTTCATGAGGATATTGTTAACTTGGCCTACGGAGCAAGGCTGGAGTAGAACGAAGTCGTATGCAAGCCATGGAGCTGGAAACTGAACTGAGGAGAAAACAACATGGGATAGCTGCTCCTTTATTAGTGCTACCCATTTTGTGCACTCAGTGAAGTAAAGTGGGGTGGGGTGAGTATGAGCCCAGGCAAGCAAGTACCCTATCATACTTGACAGGCACAAAATTGTAAGCTTGTAGGGGGTGGGGATGACGAGTGACTCCATCTCCTCCATTCCTGTATCTGACCAGTCCCTAGCACCGTGGGGTGCCCACATACAGCTACGACTACTGTGATTAGCTGAAGAGGGCTAGAACAAGGTCCATGGGGCAAACATGGTTCTGCAGTTTCCTAGCTTGGTGCACTTGTATTTGTGTGTGCAAGTGTGTGTATTTATTTGGGGGTGGGGTGTACTAGCCTGGTGCTCTTGTATTAGCAAGGGGGTGTGTGTGTCCGATCTTGGTGCCCCTGTGTGTGGTTGGGGGGGCATATGTGTCCCAGCTTGGTGTACTTGTATTGGCAAGGGGGGGGGGGGTGTCCCAGCTTGGGGCGCTTATGTGCGTGTTTGGGGAGGGGGCGATGTGTATGTGCCCTAACCTGGTGTGCTTGTTTTGGCAAGGGCGTCCTAGCTTGGTGTGGTTGCAGTGTGTGTGTGTGACTGGTGTCCCACCGTGCGAGACGCCTGGTGAGAGCTGCCGCCATTTCCCGTGGGGCGGCAGCGCTGGAGCAGCCCGCGCCGCTGCCTGTTGCCGAGCTCCGGGCGACAGAAAACCTACTCTGCGCGTCGTCCGTCGTCAAAAAAGCCCACAAGCGGGCGAGCAGCGAGCGCGGGCCACCCGGGGCCTGTGAGCCCCGACTCCCAGCCGCAATGACGTCACGAGCGCGGCGCCTCCTGCTGCCTTGTGCCCGACAGGTGACGTACGAGCGGTGTAGTGACGAACGCCCCCGCCCGGCTGCTGCGACATCCCCCCCCCCGCGGTCCCACACCGTTGCTCTGGGAAGGGGCAGAGCTCTGGCAGCGCGGGACGTGGGTGCGTCACTCGGAAGCGGCCCGGCCGAAGGGGAGAAAGGGAGGGGAAGCTGTGGCCCGCGAGGGAAGGGGCGGGGCTCGACGCAGATTAACGTCAGCGGCGCGCCGACCAGTCTCCAGGCAGCGGCGTTGGGGGCGGGTCGAGGTCCGGCAGCCGGGGGGGCGGACTGTCCGCTCCGCGTTGACGTTTCCGGGTCGCGACCCGGAAGTGGCCGTGGAGGCGGGACGCGCCTGGCACAAACATGACAGGAGGCGGGAAGCGGAGACCTCGCGCTGGGGAGCTGGAGCAGGAGCAGGTGCGGGGAGGGGAGGGGAGGGGTCCGGT